CACGGATAGCCTTAGCAACACGCATGTTGCAGATAACCTGAGAGCATTAAATGGAACTTAGCTTGTCAAGACGTTCGAGAGAGTGAAACATAGCAGCTGTGAAGTGGATGCTTGATCTCTTGATATCCTTCTTGGGGATGAAGTTCCCATCTGACTTGTTCGTGAGTTAGTCACATAACTTGTGGAGTTCATGACAATAATGTAGAGATGTGTGAAATAATGCTAACTCAGTCACTTCCGAATCAGGCAGCTTATAATCAATGCAGAGAATTCACGTGTTCAAGTTAACGAACTTGAATGAATCGGAGGTGAGACCATTGGGGATGCGAATTCCACTTCTCTAAATTCCCGATTCCTAGTGATGATGGTGTTTTGCCTGCCGAATTCGCCATTTAATTAGCTATTGAGCAATGCGAAAACTGCTGATACTACTGAGGGACCTTATATATGATGCTTAGATAGGTGTCGTAGTCCCATAGGTAGATGGGGATCAGCTGAAGGTCAGCTGATGAGAGCTTGACTAACGTGACCTGCCAGAACTAACGCTAGGCTTGATTTATGCAACGATAGGTAACACATTAAATTAAACATGGAAGTTTGACAGGCTGAAATAGTATTTTGTTGTAAAACATACTCCAATAACCAATAACCTTTTATTTATAACTTCAAAAAATAATAATAATATTTTTTTTTACAGTGGTCCTTGTGTTAGAGAAAGTAACACTCAGGTAACATAGACAAGTTGACAGCTCCTCTACTACTCCCTGTAGATTAAACAGTAGAGTATAGTACTAGCGACACAAGGACCATGCGTTTGCTTTGGATAAAAGCATCTCCCAAATGCATTAATGTAACAAAATAAAACAATTAGTTGACAACAGTGTGCATCTTACTAAATGTGGTTCTCTATTTCTTCATTACTTGTGTATGTGTTACTGTCTCCATAAGATGAATCATTTGTGTTGTAGTCAGAAGCGTCAGGCACGTTCAAACCTTCATCTCATTTGTAAGCATCTGCTAAATGAGTTTGTCAAGCCTGTGTATGGCTGTAGGTGTGCTGTTAGAGGCATATTTGTGTGTGTGTGTGTGTGTGTGTGTGTATATGTGTGTGTGCGCATGTGTGTACAGGTACATGTTTTTCTATACCAGTGGGGACTTAAACCTGAATACACACCAACTCATGGGGACTCGTGTCACCGTGGGGACCTAAATTGAGGTCCCCATGGGGAAACAAGCTTATAAATCATACAGAATGAGTTT